GGTAGCTGACCGGCGTCGGGATAGGAACGCACACGGTGGAGAAACTCTGATTCCCGTGATTGATGGCGTTGGTAAAGGAAACGCGGTACATGTGGCTACAATTTCGGGCAGTACCATATCTTCACCCACGTCTACTACTTTTGAATTTTTGAATGAGCGGGAGGTTACTGCAGAAGAAGGGCCGGGGCATCAATCTCAACATTCCAGTTTGGGCCTAGGTGGGGCCAAGCCCACGGCAATTGAGTCAGGTTTGGTGGCCCAATTTTCTCCTCTGGCTCCTAATCTTTTGATGGAGGTTGAGGCTAGCCCACTGAGTGAATCAGTGTTGCCCAAAAAGAAGTGGAAGAGGGTGGCCCGTCAACATATGGATCCTAATACTACTCACTCCCCTATTACGGGGACTAAGAGAGTGCTTGAGGAGGTGGTAGTTAATGATGGGAATCTGAGTGATGAAACTTAGGATGTGAAGGCTGGGAAACGTTTGTGTGTGCATGGGGGTGATGCTATCAACCCACATAACAATATTCCAATGGTGGAGGCTGATGTTCAGCCCCGCCGATCCCAATGAATGTGTTATGCTGGAACTGCCGCGGGTTTGGGAACCCACGGTCAATTTGATCTCTTCAGTTTCTACTGAAGACGGAAGTTCCTGGGCTGGTTTTTCTTATGGAGACCAAGCTCGATTCGAAGCATATGGATGGGATTCGGCAAAAACTGGGATTTTGTGGTGGTTTTTATGTCAACCGAGTTGGACTTGCGGGCGGACTTGCTTTGTTATGGCCAGCGGGTATCCAGGTTAGTGTGAAAAGTTATTCGGTTGGTCATATTAATGTATTTGTGGACGCTGGATTGGGGGAACAACCTTGGAGATTTACGGGATTTTACGGACACCCGGAAATGGCACAACGGAAAAATTCTTGGGCATTATTGCGTAGACTAGCAACATGCTTCCAAATGCCTTGGCTTTGTGCGGGTGATTTTAATGAAATTTTGTTTTGTCGCGAGAAGTGTGGTGTCATGGGGTGTAGTCCATCCCATATGGAACATTTTCGGAATGTTATCGCAGAAGCACACCTGGCTGATCTGGGTTTTGTTGGGCTAATTTTCACTTGGTCCAATAACCGCGATGGCAACGCTTTGGTTCGGGAGCGATTGGACCGTGGGTTTGCTAATGATGCTTGGCAGCTCTTGTTTCCACATGCAAAGGTTTATCCTATGGCGTGCACATCCTCCGATCACCTACCTATTTGTGTTGACATTTGTGGGGCTAAAGAACAACGTCAATCTCCTGCTAGTGGTCATCGCATGTATCGGTTTGAAGCTATGTGGCTACGGCATGCAAGTTGTGAGCAAGTAGTTGCCGATAATTGGCTGCCTTCTTCTAATGTGGATGTTCGAAGTTTGGCCTCTACTATTGCACATGTAAGTTCTTCGTTGCGACGGTGGGATCGTAATGTTTTTGGGTGTGTCAAGCGACAGTTGAAGGAGAAAACCGATCAATTACAGCGGTTGCTTACGCTAAGTTCCAATTTTCCGGACGATGTTACAGAAATGTGTAAGCTACGTTGTGATATTGATGAGCTTTTAGAATAGGAATCTATTTTTTAGGGTCAATGTGCTCGGGCTAATTGGCTAAAGGATGGGGACCGTAATACTTCGTTTTTTCATTCCAAGGCCACCCAACGTCATAAGAAGAAGAAAATTGCTGGTATTGTTGATCCTAATGGAATTTGGCAGGAGGATCAAAGAGTGGTGGAGGACAATTTTGTGAATTATTTTCAGGAATTATTTTCGGCAGGTGAGGGACTGAACATGGGCCCAGTATTGCAGTTGATTCAGGCGAGAGTTTCCAATCGTAGTGCGTCTCAATTGAGTAGACCATTTTCTAAAGTTGAGGTCCACCATACGCTTTTCCAAATGCATCCAACGAAGGCTCCCGAGCCCGATGGTAAGCCTGCTTTATTTTTTCAAAAATTTTAGCCAGTGATGGGTCCTGGTGTGAGCTCTGCGATGCTTGGGGTGTTGAATGGGGTTGATGAGATTTCACATATTAATCATACCTTCATTGTGCTGATTCCTAAAATTAAGAATCCCAAGCTCATGTCAGAGTTTTGGCCAATTAGTTTATGTAATGTTGTCTATAAAATAATTGCAAAAATGTTGGCCAATCGTCTTAAAGAGGTGCTGCCTTTTGTAATTTCCAACACTCAAAGTGTGTTTGTTCCGGGCCGTCTCATTACTGATAATGCGTTGGTGGCATTTGAAGTGTTCCATTTTCTTAAGAATAAGAGGGCCGGAAAGGATGGTTGCCTTGCGTTGAAACTTGACATGAGTAAAGCCTATGACCGAGTGGAATGGCCATTTATTAATCAAATGATGCTCCCGTTAGGCTTTCCGCAACGGTTTGTGCAACTACTTATGAATTGTGTGTCCACTATTTCTTTTTTTGTGCTTGTTAATGAGAAGCCTTCCAGAATGTTTTACCCAACACGGGGCCTCCACCAAGGGGATTCGCTTTCGCCATATTTGTTTACTATTTGTGCGGAAGGAATGTCGGGGCTCCTCGTCCATGCTATGGCAGCTAACCGGTTGTCCGGAATTTCAATTTGCCGGGGTAATCCACACTTGTAGCATTTATTTTTTGCTGGTGATAGTCTTCTATTTGCGGCTACTAAAGAAGATGAGGTGGGTGTTTTGCGAGATATTCTCCAAAAGTATGAGCAAGCATCGGGGCAGAAAATTAATTTCCAAAAATCGGCTGTTTGTTTTAGTAAAAATACGGACTTGGTTACTCAGAGTGGTGACATCTATTCTTGGGGTGGGTTCATTGGCGCCGTACGGGAAGTATTTGGGGTTACCATATTGTGTGGGGCATTCTAAGCGCGCCGTTTTGGGGTTTGTTAAGGAGCGCCTATGGACTCGATTAAATGGTTTGAAGGAAAAAATTTTATCGATGGCGGGTAGAGAGGTACTCATTAAGTCTGTTGCTCAAGCCATACTCACTTATATTATGTCCTGTTTTCGCCTCCCTGACGGAGTGTGCCATGAAATTGAGTCTATGGTGTGCAATTTTTGGTGGGGACAAAAAGAGGAAACCGTAAAATTCATTGGACTAGTTGGAAACAATTGTGTAAGTCTAAATTACAGGGTGGTATGGGATTTCGGTGCCTTCAACATTTCAATTCAGCATTGTTGGCCAAACAGTGTTAGCGATTAGTGCAGTGGCCTCAATCTTTGGTTGCGCGGGTCTTTAAGGCTAGGTACTTTCCTCAAACTTCTTTTCTTGATGCTTTGGTCGGGAGCAATCCATCTTTCACTTGGAGGAGTATAGTCGGATCTCGAAGCCTATTAAATGCTGGGCTTCGATGGCGTGTTGGGAATGGTGCGAGCATCTCGGTTAAGTATGATAAATGGGTTCCACGGCTTCACTCTTTTAAGGTAATTTTGCCACCTTCGACTCTTTCGGATGATGTGCGGGTTAGTGATTTGATTGATTCTAAGAAGGGTGCATGGTATGATGAGATGCTTACGCAAAATTTTTTGGGCATGGATGTGGAGGCTATCCGATGCATTCCTTTTTGTCATACGTTACCTTCGGATAAATTGGTCTGGCATTTTTCCCGAAATGGTGAGTTTTCGGTGCGATCAGCATATCATTTGTGTATGGATATGGCCTCTTTGGATGGCCACGGTGCTACCTCCACTAATGGGTAGTCGCATAGGCAGTTCTGGTGAGGTTTCTGGCAGCTTCATTTACTGACCAAACTCAAGATTTTTGGCTGGAAAATGTGTCTTGGGTTGTTAGCTGTAAGGGCCAATTTACGGCAACGTCATATCGTCAATATGGACTTATGTCCTGGGTGTGGAGTGGAGGCTGAAACGGTAGGCCATTGTTTTCACAACTGCGATTTTGCCATGAAAGTGTGGATGTCGAGCTCACTTAATTTGGTTATCAAATCTACTCCTGTTAACAATTGTTTTGAGTAGGTCTGTCAACTCATGGCCACAATTGGTCCAAAACCCATGTAATTATTTATTGCTATTTGTTGGTGCCTTTGGAATAATAGAAACTCCATTCTGTTTGACAATAAATCAAGGATTGTGGAGGAAGTTGTTTCTTTCGCGGTGAATTATGTATCTGAATATGATTAAGCACAAGAGCGCGGCCATCTTCCTGCAGCCCAGGTGCGGATGCGAAGGTGGGTTGTGCCACGTGAGGGTGTCTTCAAACTGAATTTTGATGGCTCTGTTAGGAAGGCCCATGCCAGTGCTGGTGTTGGCATTATTATTCGGGACTGTCATGGAGAAGTCATTGCGTCTATGGTTGAGCGGATCCCGTATATGGAGGATGTTGATTGTGTGGAAGCTATGGGTGCGATAAAAGCTCTTCAATTGGAATGTGATTTGGGGTTGGGGCATATTCATCTTGAAGGTGATTCTCAAAATGTGGTGGCTGCAATTCAAGGTAAGGCGGATAATTTATCTTGCTATGGTCATTTAGTGGGTGTGGCTCAAGCGCTTCTCTTGCGGTTTCTTTCTTTATCGGTTTCGCATGTTTGTCGAGATGGCAATTCGGTGGCTCATTGTTTAAGTAGGCTAGCCTTTGATTTTGATTCGCCACGTGTTTGGATGGAGGAGGTTCCTTCCTTTTTACTGGCGTTGGTGATGTCTGAGGCGTCTTCTTCTGTGTAATTGCTTATCCTATCTAAAAAAAAAAAACTTGGTTAAAAGAGTTTAGTTTGATATGAACTTTTGAATTTTTTATAATTTTGAATTTAAATGTGATCTTTTGTTTTATTAATTTTTTAATTTATTTTATCTTTTAATGGATTAATTTAGTTCCAACCAACTTGTCGAATAGAGCCCCATTAAAGCCCGATGGGCCAGACCAGACCAGACCATGAGGGTTGGGCTTTTCGACCTAAGTTTACAAGAGTTTGGGAGGGATCCGAATTCCTCAAATATTTCGGATCGCCACATGACCTCTTCTCTCTGTCTCTCTCATCCATTGAGGAGATTGAGATATTCAACAACCACCCACCACAAAAAAAGCTAGAAGACAAACACAAGAAGAGTGCCACTTTTGTCTTTTTGTTCGGCCCTGTTTCTTTGGGTTCATATTTTGTTGCATTTTCTTGGGCACACACACCAGCAATTACCTCTCTGGGATTCGTTAATTCACACATTCGACTATTTCCAAACACAAATTAGTGTTTTGATTGGTTTTGGCTTGTGGGTTTCACTTCTTGTGCTGTTCTGGAGTCATTTTGGTTGTTGGGTCTTTGGGACTTTCGTAGGTTGTCTGGTAACTGTTTGATGATTTGATGTCTTTGGCTGTTGGAGCTGTTTCTTGTTCCAATAACATGGGGCTCGATGAAAACAAGGAGGGAGGAGAGAAGAGTGGGGTCCAAGAAAGTGGTGATGAAAGTGAATTGAATATGAAGAGAAACATGAGTGATAGTTCTTTTTATGCGACTGAAGACGAGGATGAAGATGAGTATGGTAATAAAATTCAGCTTGGTCCTCAGTGTACCCTTAAGGAACAGCTTGAGAAGGATAAGGTTTGTTTCTCTTCAAATTCACACATATATACATTTTTCACATAATCTATGGTTCACTGGTATTTTTCAATTTTGTGTTTTTGAATTTCTATGTTTTTTGTTTCTTTGAATGTTGGTGATTTTTAGGATGATGAGAGCTTGAGGAGGTGGAAGGAACAGCTTCTTGGGAGTGTGGATGTGAACAATGTTGGAGGTATTAATGATTCCATTTAGTTACCATTTTGATGATACCAAATTTGCAATTAGCTTTTATATTTGTTTTTTGTTTGCTTAATTTTTTTGATTGAGCTGGTAATGTCATAGGATATTTAAAATACTCTGCCTTGCTCCATTTGCATTGATGATCTACATTGGCATTTTTTTTTAAAATTTGTAGGAAATCGAAAAAATTATTTATGCCAAAAAAATACCAAAAATTGAAGCTTATGTATAGATTTAAATTTAGTGGGGGTGTGAGTGAACAAATTTGGTCCACACATTTCATTTTCTTGTACTTTTTTTTTTAAGTGCATAGCATTCCTTTTTCTTGTCTGCTTTCAATCTATTTATTTGTTGAGATAAAAGAGTCAAATCAATCTCTAGTTTAACAGTATGCTTGCACTAATTTTTAAAGTTAGTGAATCAGTGATGGATTCATTTGTCTTTTACCTCCATTGATATGTAATTTCAGTCTCGACTTTCTTCGTTTTCTTAATGTGGAACTAACTTCCGTTTTGTGAGGGAAGCTTGAAAATGGAAGAGAATCGGGGATAGAAGTAATAGCGGCTTTTCTTGTGAATTGCACACATATCATCAATTCAAATCAACAAGAAAAAAAAGTAGTTATTGTGTTTGTTCACACAAAACTAAACAAGTGCTATTGTCTTTTCCTTTTTCTCTTTCCTTCTCCCTCTGATTTTGGCTCCCAAGGTTGTATGTTGTAATGAAGGTTCAACTTTATATCCAGAATAAATTTGAACCTTTTGACATCACTATCCATGTTAAAATTAAAGATGAGTGATGAGTCTGTTTGAATTCTTCCGCCATTCACTACTGTTTATCACCCGCTTCAGATGTACATCAAATCAATTCAACTAAGCCCTATCCTCCATTCTTTTTCTGATGAGATTTATGTATATCATAACATTGCTTTCAGTTTCTTATCATAACATTGCTTTATTGTTTCATTTATTGTAGAAACATTGGAACCAGAAGTGAAGATCCTCAGTCTTTCAATCCTCTCTCTTGAGAGACCTGACATTGTTATTCCTATTCCTGAAGATGGAAACCCCAAAGGTTTGTGGTTTACTTTGAAAGAAGGTAGTCGCTACAGCTTGAGATTCTCTTTCCAAGTCAGCAATAACATTGTATCTGGCCTTAAGTACACCAACATCGTTTGGAAAACTGGCATGAAAGGTAAACTATCTCTGTCCAAAATCATAGTAAAAATTTCAAATTTTAAAAAACATTTGAACGTTTCACCTCATGTTCCATCTTATTTCAGTGGATAGCACAAAAGAGATGCTTGGAACTTTTAGTCCGCAGCAAGAGCCTTACACGCATGTGATACCCGAAGAGACCACCCCCTCTGGCATGTTTGCTAGAGGTTCATATACTGCAAAAACAAAGGTATATTTAATAAATTAGATAGTCTCTTTTCCTCTTCAAGATTTACCTTGATTATATAACCTCATCTCAAGTGAAAGATCATGATAAATCAGATCAAAAGAAATGGAAATCAAGTGGCACTTTGCACATGCCCTGATGTTCGTGAATGATAGTTAAGGGCGCGAATCGCTTGATAGACATTGAAAGCTTTTTCTGAACTGTTTTGTGTCCTCATCTGTATTTTCTAACTGAAAATGTGTGGGTATCACCACCGGGAAGTTTTTGAAATTATTTATAAAGTTCTAGCCAAATGTGTTTACCATTAGTTTCCTCCTCTTTCCATGATTTATTTTCTGATTAACTACTGAACCTCATGGTATTTCAGATGCCCTTGTAAGTCCTCAGTTGTAATTATGTTACCTTCCTTGATATCTCGTTGTCTTAAGATTTTGATGTCAAAGAGTACCAATTGTATGTCACATGCCTTGTTACGACGGTCAAATCTGTCTTGAACACATGGCCCGCCCATTGATGAAGCAAATGTACTTTTGTTTCACAATGGCCGCCCATTCATGAAGCTAATGTACTTTGTTTGGCCTTCCTTACAACGGCTATGGCCCATGTTAATTGAACTGTATACCGATTTCTTGATCTTCTTTTGCTAGCTGTCTGCTGTCTGTGTTCAGCCCTTTGCCGGTTTGACAACTTACAAAAAAGTCAAAAAGTTATCAAAAAAGTTAAAAAGTTATCACTATTTATAAAAAAAAATATAAAAAAATTTATTTTTTTACAAATTGTGAGACAACTCACTCTGACGGAAGGCGGTTGTGCTTGACTTTGGTGAGGATAAATTACACAAGCGGAGGCAAGCTTAAGGACTGTGTTGTTCGGCCCGTGGGGGCCATCACAGGTCCCGTTTTGATAATTCGAACCATTTAATGTGTAGAACTCGTTAAGTACTATATGCTTAAAAAAAATTACGTTAGTCGGATATAGTTAATATATGATCAAATCAGTTTTTGTATAAAAAAAAATGGATGGTGTTATAGTTAACGGTTGAAAAAAAATTAATCCGATCAAATAACTATCGATATCCGATCAACGTGATTTTTTACAAGTATATAGTACTTAACGAGTTTTATACATTGAACGGTTCCGATTAGCAAAACGGGACCCGTAGTGGGCCCCCATGGGCAGAACAACACCGCCCAATTTATGCCCGCAAAGGAGAGAATCATCTCTTCCCCTACACTCTGCCATGTTGCCCCTTACGCTGCCGACTGTACGGCCTATGCCATCACTAACTTCTCCTATACACTTATTTATACAATTTTTTAATACACATTTCATAAAAAGTTAAAAAGTTAATTCAAACATTCATATTTTTTTCTTCAACTTTTTAATCCAAAAAGACAAAAAGTGCACTTGTTTAGGACACTCCAAACAACCAATTTCGAAGAAAAAGTAAACCGGCATGAGTATGGGATGTGTCCAAACCCCAAACCTAAATTTGACATATCCTCTAAATTTTGAAGTTGTTTAAAGAAGAAAAAGAAAATCATATTTGGTAATTTAAAAAAAGAAAAAGAAAAAGTAAAAAAAAAAGTCTAGTTTCTCACATGAATGAGGGTAGGGATGTAAGAAAAATCAAAAAATCGACTAAACCAATTGAACCGAATCGAACCGGTTATATTTGGTCGGTTTTTTTTAATATGAATCAGTCTATTCAGTTTTGAATTTTTTTTTCTTTTTGATTTTCGGTTCAATACTGGTTTTGGCATATTGTACACCGATTTTCACCGAAACCAACTCTAGATGTTTACATATAATAAAATTATTGTTTTAAGCTTTGGTTTTATTTTGATGTTAAGACTTTGGTTCTTAGATTGTATTTTATTTTTAATTCTAATTCAGTAAAAGTTTCAATTATTAGTATTTATTAATTTTTTTGTTTGTATTTTTGTGAATGGTTGGATTGGATATGGTTAAAATTATATACAAATGGCTAATTTAATATTTTTATATAAATTATTTATTATACTACAAATTTAAGATACGATTTATTTTGAAAGTACTTAAACCGATTAAACCATATTCAGTCGAACTGTATGAATCGGTGCAGTTTGATAAAAAAATTTAGTTTGTATCAGTTTTCAATATAATAAAATCGACATTATCGGTTCGGTGCAAAATTTCACTTAAATACTGACCGCCCCAAACCGATTACATTCCTAGATGAGGGAAATAAATCTTACTTTTCTTCTAAATCCCATTTAATTTCAGTTACATTCCTAAGTAACAACAGCATACTATTTGATAATATTACAGACTATTGTTTACACTAATTTTGTTTCCCTTTCAATGGACATGACACATCGAAAGACGGTTTTGACAAGAGTATGAGATGGCTCGAAAGAGTCATATGGGTGACTCTAAGAACTCAAAGCAATTCAAGAAGAGCTTTGGTTATTTTACACATGGAATCCAACCTAAGCAAGGATACGTATGAATTGCCAGACAAACGGCAAAATATCGCACAGGGTAACAAAAATGTCAGATAGTTAAATGGCATTTCAAAAGAGTAACTGCCACATTTAACATTCAAGAAATGTGCCTAGAAGAGAGGGAAAGATGCGGACAGAAGATCGGGCACGAATTAACTATTGGTAACCTCCATAAATAGAAGAAAACCCATCAGTAGAGTAGAAGATACCACCTGGCACCACACATGACCTTTGTAGACCAGGCTATCATAGTTTCGGAGTAGGGGTAGCAGTAACTTAGTTTCTTTCAACTGCTACGCTTAGAACAATTGTGGTCCATAGACGTACTTTTCTAGGGCATGTAGTATTGCTGCTCCAGAAAGTCTTGAAACTACGACAAATACACTCCCACACAAACACTGTTGCCTGATCTTGGTTCGACAGACCCATTGGCTGAGGCTGCAAGATTCAGCCCTAAAACTATGCAATATATTTAAATCTTCAAGACATGTACACTTACCCTGGTATCTTAAATTTCACTTTTTAGAGCTTAGAGTGATTTGATGCTTGGACACATATCCATATCCGATACTTGTTCCTTGCAACATAAGCAACAATGCAAACCAAAATATGCATAAAATTCATTACTTCATTATCCTAACATTGAGTTTGGGTTTATGATTTTTTTATTTTTTATTTATGATATCCACTTTCAATTTTCTTTATTTTCAGTTTGTTGATGACGATAACAAATGCTACTTGGAGATCAATTACACTTTTGACATCAAGAAGGATTGGGCTTCTGTTTAAACAGAGGACTTCCGGACCAGTGTTAGCATATGGCCTTCATTCAGTTATGTTCGTTGTACCAATATCAGTTTAATTTGTTCCCACCACACAGAATTAATTATCACTCTACGATATTCTTAACCACCAGATTTCATAACAATTGAGAGACTTGTTTCGTGGGTATCCCTTACTAAAAGGAGAGCTTGACATGTCTTTTAGATATTCTTTTCCCTGCAGTAAATTCCCCTTCTGTTATGACCCGGCTGAGCTTGATTTTTGGTGAAATTTTTTCTGGTTTTGTTAAAGCTTGGAAATCATCGTGAATCATAGGCCCCGCATTTATAAGGACACATTGGGGTACAATTACTGGTCTGCCACTTTATGTTTGAACTCTTTGTTAAACAGAGTGATAATTTGTTTTGTTGGTCTGCCACATGAACATCCTGACCATGCTCCCAAAAGAAAAAGAAAAAAAAATGATTATGGATGGTTGAGAACTTACACCTGATTTTTTTCTGTAGCTTCAAAACCTTTTAGTTAAACCTTCTACGAATATTTGACTGACTTGATTTTTGTCATAAATACTTTACTCAATGAATCTTAGAATATAAACTGTTCGAATTATCAAAATAGGCCCAGTATTGACTCTCATGAGGGATCATAGCAGCCTGCTAGCAGTATCCTCATGTCTCTGCTGCCTTATATTTTTTTTTTAGGGTTAATTACGCATTATCTCAACTATTATTAAATATTGTTTTACTCTCCATAACTTTAAAATTGTACATTTGCACCCCTCAACTACAAAATTATATTACTTTTACCTCTCTAAAAGAGGGTATTTGTAACTTTCTTTTTGTTTATAGTTGGGGGGGTCTAAATATATAATTTTGAAGTTGAAGAGGTAAAGTGATATATAGGGGTTTCACAAGGGTTAAATGAACCATATGATGTGTTGTTGGGTATTCTATGCTAGGACTGGTTTCCTCCAGCTTCTTCTTTATTTTATTTTTTTTTGAGAACCTGGTTCCACCAGCTTGATGACTTGTTTGTTTGCATGTGCTCGTCAATGTAGATATGTTAAAGAGCAAGCCTGCGAAATTAGATACATGTGAAAAATGAAATCAAGAATAAAAAAATCCTATATGTTAAAATTAAATTAAAAAAAAAAAAACCTTGATAACTCAATTCAATTTGGATTCGAAGATAGGTGAGGCTTCATGTAATGGATAGAATATTAATGTATCAATAAACAAAATATTTTAAAGAGACATAACTATGTACATGGTTTGGTGCAGTGAAAAAAATATCGGACTTGGGATTAGCCAGCTTATTAAGGATCTCAATTTCCATCCCTCTTACCTAAAGAAAAAAATAAAAAAATAAAAAAATGTAACTAATGTGGATCTGAATTAATCAAAATTTCGTTTTCTTTCCACAAATATACGATAAAAATGATTCAACCGACAACCCAAATGAAAAAGGGCAAAATTGTTGACTGAAAAAAAAAATGTTAAAGAGAGAAAATCAAATCAAGTTGGTGGCAATGATCTTTAATATCAAGACTTACTTTTTGGCATTACAAAATTGTTGGTGCGCCTTATACTTCAAGGGATTTGGTTTTACTTTGAAAAAGTGAATAGAAAGCAACAGTCGAATAAACATGAACTTATTTATTTTATTTTATTTTAAGAATGAAAATGAGGCAAACTTTGCACATGGTGCAATACAGATTAGGACTCATAAACCACTATCATATTAATTAAAAAACGAGACTTTTTAGTCTTAAACTAAAATAATTAAAAAGTCAAAAAATCAACTCGCATCACAGAGAAACCTTAAGGTCCCACTTGATATGGTTGGTGTATAGTAAAATCACCAAGATAGATCTATGTTAATTGCTGGTAAATTTCAATTAATTGCAAATTTGTCTTCAATATAATACAGCTTTCCACAGCATTGTGTTTGTTTTACAATAATCTTAGCACAAGCATGTGGGGAAAAAAATGGAAACAAATTTCAAATTTTACTAAATTTAATTTAATTTTTTTTTTAAAAGGAAAAAAAAAAAATTGCTTCTCCTTATTTCATAAACAATTTTTCATTTGTTCCTAACTTCACCACCTCCAGGCTCCAACCAACTCCAACCATCAACTCTTGTAGGCTATACCCTTTAACTTTTTCTAAATATATTTCTAAAATAATGTGCGTACCAAATATGTTTTTGTATTTGAGCATATTTCATATTTTTTTTATTAAAAAAGATAGTGAGCTTTAAACATCACTTTATCGCCTTCTTGAGTCCGTGTAATTTTAATTATGTTTATTTTCATCTCACCTAATTGTGCAACACAAATCACCATTATTATGTAGTGTTTTTCTTTCCTCTTTTTTTTTATTATTTATTTTTTTTTTCAAGTTGAACACAATATAAAAGGCAGCTTAATTTTCATGGGATTCATATTTGTGTGGATGAGTTCAACTTTACTTATTTAACTTACTATCTTTGTTTTCTTTTGAGGACAAAATATAACAAAATTATATCAAACAAAAGGGGTAAGAA